GAATGAAAGGCTGGATTCCTTGCAAGATGCAAGGCACTTCGACTTGTCGCAAAACAGAGAAATCTTTTCTTGTTTGTGCCCGAGTTCCTCCAATACCATTTTTAACCGAGTGCCTCTTTACTTGGCTTGTGTAGCTACTACATATTCTCGCTTCGTTGTTGACGTAGCCACAATCGATCGTAGTTTAGAAACCCAACTTACAGACTCCATCGGTAAGTGTAAACACAAAATCCGTAGTTGATTTGCTTTTATCCATATCACCCGCATAATCGAAATCAACATAACCGCTAACGATAAATTTTGATCCTCCATAACATAATGCAACGATCGAGGTTCCCCGAATGTATCTCGGGATCCTCTTTATCACATTCCAATGCTCTCTACCGGGATTCGCCATTTACCGACTAACCACTCCCATCGCATGCGCAATGTCCGGCCTTGTACAAATCATAGCGAACATTAAACTTCCCACTCGCTGATGCATACGGTACTCGAGACATCTCCATCCTCTCTTCTTCATTGCTAAGACTCATACTCGTAGGATAACTTGAAATTAATAGGAAGTGGGGTAGAAATTGGCTTACAATCTTACATGTTGAAACGTCGCAAGACCTTCTTCAAATAAGTATTTTGAGAAAGCCAAATCTTCCTATTATTTCTGTCTCGGTGAATTTGCATCCCTAGAATCTTGTTTGCTAGTCCTAAGTCCTTCATTTCAAATTCCCTAGCCAATCGTGCCTTCAATTATTTGACATGATCTTTGTTGGGGCCTACTACCAACATGTCATCGACATACAACAACAAGATAATAAAATTACTTTCACCAAACCTCTTGAAATATGCACAAGGGTCTTCATTAAGTCCGTTGTATCCAAGGCTCATGATGAATGAATCAAATCTCTTGTACCAACACATCGGCGCTCGTTTTAGATCGTACGGAGATTTGGTCAACTTGCAAACCAAGTTCTCTTTTCCTATTTCTTCAAAACCTTCGGTTGGAGCATATAAATCTCTTCTTCAAGATCTCCATGAAGAAAAGCCATTTTCACATCTAACTCGCTCTAGATGTAAGTCAAACATAGCACACATTGCCATGACTACTCGGATCGTTGTCGGTCGAACCACGAGAGAAAATATCTCATTAAAGTCAATCCCTTCTTTTCGAGCATAACCTTTCGCCACCAACCTTGCACGATATCGCTCCACTCGATCATCGGTATTTCGTTTGATCTTGTAAACCCATTTATTACCAATGGGCTTTCTTCCTTGTGGTAATGTCATAAGTTCCCAAGTCTTGTTCTTGTGAAGAGCTTCAATTTCTTCCTGCATTGTTGCCATCCACGGAGATGCATATGAGTTGTTCATTGCTTCTTGGAGAGTTGATGGCTCTCCTTCCTCCGTTAAAAGACGGTATGTAACATTGCTCTCCATAATATAGTCCGAATGCCAATCGGGTCGCCTTCTTATGCGATCGGTCCGTCGGGGTTACGAAACTTCGGACTTAACCGGTTCCTCTCCATCATGCTCTGGTGTCGCTTCGGAAGGATCCTTTTGTTCATGATCTTTTTCCACCTGTACCTTTGTAGTTTCGAAGTACTATTACCTTGTTCTTTCCTTTATAGATCTGTTTCTACAAAGATAACCTCCCTGCTGACGATAACCTTGTAGGTAGTGGGATCCCACGAGCGATACCCCTTGACTCCATCGACGATACCCCAAGAATAAGCATTTCTTGGATTTTGGATCTAGCTTTGTGATTTCTTAGGCATTGTACATCACGTACACGGGACTTTCAAATATATGAAAATTTGAATAATCAAGCGGCTTATCGGTCCACATCTCCATCGGTGTCTTCAACTCAATTGCGGTTAATAGGGATCGATTCATAATATAACGAGCGGTATTGACTACTTACGCCCAAAACGTCTTTCCTAAGCTTGCGAGTCCTCGGCATAGCTCTTGTTCTTTCTAACAAGGTTCTATTCATCCGCTCTCGCCACTCCATTTTGTTGAGGAGTGTATGCAACCGTGAACTATCTTTTGATACCTTCTTGTTTGCGGAATGTATCAAATTCATCACTAGTGTATTCTCCTCCATTATCCATCCTCAAACACTTGATCTTCTTTCCGGACTTAAGTTCAACCCGCGCTTTGTAAACCTTGAAGACCGAAAACACATCTCCCTTCCTCTTGATAGGATACACCCAGCATCTCCTAGAATAATCATCAATGAAGGACACAAAGTACTTCGCTCCTCCTAGGGATGGAACCGATGCTTGCCACACATCGAGTGAACCAATTCTAGAATAGTCTTGCTTCTAGAATTTGATGTGCTAAACTCCAATCGATGTCGCTTGCTGATAACACAATGCTCACAAAAGGGTAAAAATACTTTTGTGAGTCTCGAAAGTAGCTTTTGCTCAACAAGGATTTTCATTCCTTGTTCAAACATATGCCCAAGTTTCTTATGCCACATTATTGTAGATCTTTCACTCGAACTATTTAAAGCAACCGATGCTTTTGCTTCTTGTAAAGTCTCTCCCTTCAACATATATAAGTTTGCAGCTATCTTTTCTCCCTTCATAAGTACAAGTGCTCCTTTGATTATCTTCGGGATCCCCTTCTCGATATCGATCTTGTATCCAAGATCATCCAGTTGTCCTATAGACAATAAGTTCTTCTTCGAGCCTTCCACATGTCGCACTTGTTGAATAGTATGAATTGTACCATCATACATCTTCGACTTGATGGTTCCAATGCCAATGATCTTTAGAGCATGATCATTGCAACTGTACACGGATCCTCCTAAGATAGGTTCATAATGATAGAACCATTCCTTCCTAGAGGTCATGTGAAACGTAGCTCCCGAGTCAAATAGCCACACATCGGCAAATGTTTTTCTATCACTATGTGACGTTATCGCTTCACAACACAGAGTGTTTCCATCATCCGAAGTGCTTGCCATATTTCCTTGAGGATTGAAATTTTTCAAACTCGACAATCCTTCTTTAGGTGACCTTTCTTGCCACAGTTGTAGCATTTAAAACTCTTCTTACTTCTTGATTTTGACCTACCATAATTATAGGTCCCACTTGAGCCATGATCCGTTGATCTCCCTCTCATCATCGTCAAGGCTTCGCTTGTTGAGAAGTCATCTACCTGTCTTCCTTGTTCTTGAGTCGATTTTCTTCTTCCAGCAATAGCAGTTCGCAACATCATCGAAGACTAGATAATCCGTAAAGATATTATTTATTAAGTTGATGATGAGTTGAATCATACGAATCGGTAGACTTTGAAGTAGAAGTTCGAGCACATTCACTTTGATCTATTTTATAACCCAATGATGTGAGTTGAGAAAATAAAGTATTCAAAGTATTGACATGCTCGTCACCGAAGTAGATTCCGCCATACAAAGAGTATAGAGTTTCCTTTTAAGAAAAATTTTATTATGGAGTGACTTGGCCTCATACAGACTTAGTGAGATGATCCCGCATCTCCTTTCGTCGCCTTCTTCTCCTCTATGCTTGACAACACTCCATCCGCTAATGCTAGATGAAGATTTACAATAGCATTTCCATCCATCTCATTTCACTTATTGTCATCTCGTGTATTCTCTCGGCCTTTCATCGATAGCCGCTAGGCAATTATCTTTTCTCAAGATAACCTTTATCTTCAACTTCCACAATGAGAAATTGCTCCCGTTGAATTTTTCGATTTCAAACTTTGTCGCCATTATTTCTATCACGGACTCCGGAGGATCTACAACCTAGCTCGATACCACTTATTGAGTTATTGACCGAATAGAGCGGTGGTCGCGACTAATAAAATTGAGAAATAAAGATGAAGTTGAACACATAGATTTTACGTGGAAACCCTTAAATAAATTAAGGAAAAAAACCATGGACAAGATAGAAGAATTTCACTATGAAAAATAATAGGAGTTACACCCTCTCTCTATACTATAAGGAGAAAACAATAAATTTCTCTCTTGAAATAGAAAAAACACTCTCTATATTTTTCTCTCTCTTCTTTGAGATGGATGGTGGGATATCAAACTAAGGTGGAGAGGCCTATTTATAGACCTCTCCCTTGCTTGCACCGCCTAATTTAGGCGGTGCAAGGTCGGTCACGGCTTGCATTTTGCAAGCCGTGATCTAGCTTGCATGCAAGTTGCATGCAAGTCGGGATTCCGTGGACAAATTGTCCACGAAAAGCCTTGCATACAAGCTGTGATTTCCATGGACAAATTATCCACGAAAATCTCCTTTTTTTTGTTTATTATTTTTCAAAATTTCCTTCCCTTTCGCCCCTCAAAAAGAGAGAACAAAAACTTAACAAGAACCGCACGGTATGCAAGTTGCAATACTCATCTAGGAATTGGTAAGTTAAGACATGTTTTGCTAGTGTGTTTGATAAATCAAACAAACCTTTTATTGTATGCTCGACTTTCACTTTCTACTCGGAGCAAAGTTGTCGGGATGATTTGGAGTCTATTGGCTACATTCTTTTATATTTTTTGAGAGGAAGGTATGCTACCACTAACTATGTAGAGAATTTTTTTTTTTTAGGGAGTTCTAGGTTTGTTCTGTTTTTTGCTTTAACACCATGCAAATTTTGGAGGCGGCATGATGTTTTAACAAGATGATATGATGATTAGTTGGTGTTTTGACTATCTAATAATTGGTTTCTACATTTAGCCTTCCATGGCAGTGGTCTGAAGCAAAACTATGATAAAATATACGAGAAGAAGTTATCAACTCCAATCGAGGTATGTGGCCAAATTCAATTAATTATCACTGGAATGTTTATCTTTTATTCCGGGGCATAGCACTTCAACTCCGGAGTTATTAATGGTGCCATCAATATTTCAGCTATTCGAGTTTTACTCTCTTGTACTTTTTTGACACATATGCATGTATGCAAGTGTTTTATGTTAGAACTTGTCCATAAAATTCATGTGCAATTCGAGTGTTGTGATTGAACCTCTTTTAATTCTTACTCTACTTCTTGTAGTCATCTTTTGATGTTCCACCTATTTGAGTTATTTCAAGCAAGGCAGAGGCTTGTCTTTTTGTCACTCTGTTTAACTTGTATTTTCCTTATGTTTTTTAATTTATATGTCACTTTTTAAAAGAAAGAAAAATGGTTATTTATGAATTAGTCAAAAGGTTTAATATATGACAAAAGTTACCTTCGAAAAACTCGGACTTGTGTTGGCTTTTCAAAATTTGTTGGGTAACAAAAACATCCCCGGAACTTAAGTGTTTTGGAAATGCAAAAACCTCGCTGTAACTCATTTCTAAAGTTGCCATCATTTGTAATAAATTCCTAGTACTTCAATCATGTCCGAGGAAAAGGGGAAAATGGGAAAGAGTTGAAGCAAGGTGGTGGAACATGGATTGATAATGGATTGAATCCTCATTCCAAATGCAACCATGTCATCAATAAAGGGCGATAAGAAAAGTACAAGTAGATGACAAGATCTAGTCCAAATCATGATATTAAATGGCAGATTTATTAAATTTGTAATGGTGATATTGTACAAGCTTTCTTTCTTTCTTTCTTTCTTCTTTGCAAAATATTAATTTAATATTTTGTAAGAGAAATGCTTGCATTTACAATATTATTGAAGAGTTTTTCACGGAATGAACCACACACTTGAGGAACTACAAGCGAAGTAATTAGGGTATGTAACTCATAAAGTTTTCAATTTATGATTATTTCTCTAGTTACTATTGTAGTATTACTACTAATATTGTTATCTTTTTGTTTCTCAAGAACATTTTTGCTCGGACTAAGACCTTGATCCTCTTGATTCCGTGTCACATTGCTATTATCATATGCGGACTAGAGCTGATCTTTTTGTTTTTTTTTTTCACCGTGATATAGGCTTGAGAAAAGGGTGAACAAAAAAGTTATGGAAATGTTTGAAAAAGCGGAAGACGAGTACAATGATTTGATGTCAAAGAAAAGCGACATTGAGGTTATTTACCCCGAATATACAAACATTGTTGTACCTTTGCTTTTCTATACTTGTGCTAATTTTGTGTTTACCGAATGACAAGTCTAAAATCAAGAAGGTGATTGAAGAGCTAGACGAGAAGAAGAAGGAGACTTAAAGTTACATGGGTTAAAGTAAACAAGTGAGTTTATTTTCTCAATGCAAAATTTCTGCTTCAATTTGGTGTTTTAATTTTATACCAAGCATTCATTGTTTTCATTTTTTGTGATGGATGTTCTGATTTTGGATTTTATGAAATATGACCATACACATGCTTAAAAATTTTCAATATTTTTCAATGACTTTGGATTTATCTTTTCCACCCTATTGCGGGGCACCATGGCAAAGTTAGAACCTTTTGAAGGTTGCAGTTTCCTCGATGGTCTTGAGGTTTGTGTTGCTTCTAAGACTTTTAGCCTTGGTGCTAACTTTGGCTACTGCTATAGTTCTTGGGGTAAATAAGCGGACCAAGCTTGTTCCCATTATGGTTGTGGATACCACGTCACTGTAAACATTCCCGCTTATGCAAAGTGACGTTACTTGTCCGCCTTTGTGTAAGTTTTCTCTCTTCCAAGTAAAACTATATATATATATATATATATATATATATATATATATATATATATATATATATATATATAGTGAAATTTAATTTTTCTATTTGATTGATTATTTTCAATGATTACCATGAATTCTCCATGCTAGATCTTTTTTGCTATCATTGTTTTTACATTAAGGAAAGAAATCTTGATTATTTATTTTTATTTTATTTTTTTGCATAGATTTTATCCCTTAATAGAAAAAAGAAACACCACAACTTGTTCATTCCGCTATTTTCAGTTTATTGTGTAAAGAAACATTGAAAATGAGCTACTGTTCTTAAACATTTAAAAGCTATGTAAATTAGAATTGAATTGGTTTACTTACTTTGCAAGTTATTATGAGGAGATTGGTTGTATTACTCAATTGGTCTCCCTAATTAATGAAGAAAAGTTGTCCCCAAACCTTCGTGGTACAAGGCGAGAAGCAATAAATTGGCTTGAAAGTCATAGTAGTTGCTCCGAGACCTAGCCGTAGGATTCTAGATTGGCCCTTTTGATCCATGCCATTAGGTACTAGACTAGTATCATTTCTCATCAGCATAAATAGAGTTTTTTTACACATAAGTTGTGTAATGAAGAGATCTTGTATTTTTTTTTAATAGTAAATGCAACATTAATCGATGTGATTGCTTTCATTATAGACATATATATTGATCGAATTTGATGCTTATTTTGTTGAATCCTACTCAAGTATCATATACTTTTAATTAAATATTTAACATGTTTCTTGATCTTAAAATATTTTTTAGAAGTTTTTATATGTATTTATATTATTTTTTTTACTTTCAAATTGTGCTTTTGATAAGTTCGCAATGATGGTAATGGTCAAAATGCTCATTCACTCCTAATCGTTCATCATAATCAAGTCATCTCGCCAAAATGAAACATTTTCTATAAAAATATGAGAGTTGGTTTTTTGTAAGCATTAGCCACTTATTTTAAAATCTATTGGGAATTTCTTTTATTTATTTCGAATAAGTGTTCAATCCTTTGGTGTTTTTTTTTTTTCTACTTGTGGATGTTTGAAGACTTTATATATATTTAGAATTTGATAATTACAAATTTAAGAATATTATGCTACTCCGTATAATTTTTCTTTTGTTTGCATTCCACAAGATTAAATTTTTTTTAATTTATTTATTTTTTGGCAAAGAAAAAGAAAATAATTGAATTTGGAGGCAAAATAAAACTATAATGCTAAAAGGCGAGTTAAGCCTTTATAAATTCTAAAATTTGAGGCGGTTGTAAATTCCATAACTAGGGGCGATTACACAAATTTTTAACCTAGCGGCGGTTGCAACCGCCTCAAATATTTCGTGTAAAATTTAAAAAACTAATACGGGAGACATAGAGGCGGTTCTAAATCGCCTCAAAAATTAGGTGCTAAAAAATCATAAAAGATAAAATTGACATCGTAAAAGCGATCGAACTCGCCTCGAAAAAAAAATTGAACCGCCTCAACCAACCGCCTCTACACTATAAAGACGACAACATTACGGGCGAGTTTGAGGCGTTCGAAAACTGCCCCTACGGCTTTTAGAGCCAATTATAACCGCCTCTAGAAGGAAAACAAACCACCTACAATACCTTTTTTTGATGTAGTGCAAGATTAATGGCATCTACTTGAGTGGAACTAGGTTGCACCGAAAGTAAACGAGAAGGATCATGGCCATACACCACTTGAAAGGGTATGGTGCCTAAAGAGGAGTGAAAAGCGAGTATTGTAATAGAATTTAGCCCATAGAAGCCACTCAACCCACTTACAAGGTTGATCACCCATAAAAAAAAACAAAGGTACATCTCAATGGTATGGTTGACAACTCGTAACATCCTCGACTTAAGACCTAATAAGTTGAGAATATTATCACCGTTAGCCACATTCGAAGTGCAATGAATGTAAGCTAATAAGGCACTATGATCTTATTGTAACATATGTCGAATATTTACATGACAAAAATCTTTTAGCGACGTTCAAGACCTATTTCTTACTTCAACTTCACTATAAATTTTTCGCATTTATGTCACATTTATTTATCATGATATTTTATTTTAATTTATTTCATTTTACATATTTGCTAGACTTCTAATCATGTCAATATGCGAGTGGATAATTTAAAATAATTATACTACTACTATGATATTATTATTTTATTATTACCGATTCAATTACACACCTTAATTATTTACATACATGACCGATTCTATGTCAACTACTCGTGTAAAAGGTCTACCCGAAGCCAAATCCTCATCCAAGCTACATGCGTCTAATGCCTCCCTCGGTAGTCGGCTTCGTAAAAAAGTGAGCCGTAGAATCTTATTTATCTACACCACAAGGAACCGTATGAGCTACGACCTGGTAAGTTAACGTATGCATGTAGTGTACGTACATGTGTATGTATGCATAAAACACCGATATGCATAATGAATCTTTTTTCTTTATGTCATAAAAAATTTAAGAAACGAGTTTGAAAATTCTTTTTCTATTGTTGAACATGTCGGTACTTCGGGGTTTCCATCACATATGTCTAGTGAACCAAACTCGTCCATGGACACGCCCTACCGAGCCTCTAAAAGTGCACGTCCGCACTTGCCCGACCACCGAACCATGACCATCAATATATGGAAAACCCATGAAGTCTTTTCCTTAAAACCTCAAAGTCATGAAAATCTTTTTCTTTAAAATCATTCCGATTGCTATCGGATAACCATGATATAAAATATATTTCCATGACTTAAAACATTATTCATGAGCTAAGCATACGTATGCAATTGTAATGAACCAGCATACTATATGAATTCATGAATGCTTACTTTGAATGGTTATGTAACCAAGTCATAAGAATTGATATAAAATTGGGCAGCATAACAAGCATAGATAATATCAATCCAATATAAACTAACACCGCCATCATTGGCACATCAATCATCATAACCCAATTCTCATCATCAATCACACTCAAGCATAACCATTATTCATAACCTAATACATTCATATAACATTTAAAAGAACATAACCATAACATAAAGGAAGATGAACGTTTTTGTTCCATTTCTTTGTTCATTAAACTTACCTTTCACTTTACTTTCCTAAATTCTTTTCCTTAGGTTCTTAATTATCTTTCCATATTTGGACTTTACCAAATTAAGTATCATTTCATGTTCCAACCTAAATAGGTATTATTTCATTGATTTAGGAGGTTCAATTTCGGTTTGGGCCTTAATGGGCCTAAGGCCCAATTTTTCCTAACCCAATTTTTCTTTAAATTTTTATGAGTCCTTTTCATTCTAAACCATACTTTTACTGTGTTTTGAGTCTGAAACATCAATTTTAAGGTTTAAAACTTGGTTTAAAACTAATTTCCCAAAATTCCCATTTAAGCCTAAACTTGACCTCTTTAGAATTCTAACATTTTCTCCTCATTTTGTTCCATCATTTTAACACTAAGTAGCCTAGATATGTAAAAACTATAGGAATTAATTTAATTAAAATTTGGGACCCAAAATCTGGTCCAAACCCTTATTGGGCCTTAATGGGCTGAAATTGGGCCCAAGCCCATAAAACCCATTGTCTTCAACTTTTGACAAATTTTTCACTTCAACTCATCAAAATATACTTATTTAAGTGTATATGGCTCACCAAACCAGAATCAAATTGCTTTGAACTCAAACACTAATTTGTTTAGTTTAGGCCAAATATGATTTCTAAAAATTTGTGGATTTTTTCTTCAATTAAAGTGTAATTTTTCATTCCTAAACATTAATTCATGCTCAAATAAATCAGAATCAAGTGCCAAAATACCAATTAAATGAAAGAATTCGAAACCCCCAAATTTGGTTCATCAAGAACCCTAACCCTAATTTTTTCTTAATTGAGCAATTAAATCAAATCAAACAATTAAACTTGAAATTGATTTGAAATTAAGCATGCTTGTGGTGTACGTGAGTAAATTACTTGTTTGAGCTCCAATTAGACTCTAAAAAGGTAGATTGGTGAAGGATTTCTCTTCCTCCTCGTTTCCTCTAAATTTTTGAATTTGATCTTCGAATTTTTCCCTTGAGATTTTCGGCTTCCAACTTAAAATTCAAGCTTTTTCCACTGATTAGAGGTGGATAGAATTTATTAAAAATGTTTTGGGTGATTTTTAAGTGAAAATTTTGTAAGAGTTTCTTTTGTGTTTTTCAATTTTTCCTCCCCTTTTTGTTTTTGCAGCACCCCTGTTTATATGAAATTTTGTGGAGTTATTGACCTCATCTCCACCCTTAATTCAGAAAAATCTTAGCCCTTAATTCAATTTTCAATCATTCATTTACATTTGTCCCAATTTTTATCCATTTATTCACCTTTTTATTTAACCCTTCTACCTTTCTTATTTTTTTTCATACTTTTTACTGGAAATCAGAATTAACTAGTTCTCTAGGTTGGCTAAAGTTGGGAGGAAAATGAAAAATTTTGCTTCTCCGAGTTTCTAGACTTTTCCATAACCCATTCTTTCCTAAGTCCCTCTTTTATGCAAAACTCACTTCTAATCCTTCTTTTTTGGTGTTTAGGAGTAATTTTTAACCCTTAACATTCACACATAATTTAATTTGGATTATTATACTTTTAATTTTATGCAATCGAGTCCCTAATTTTATGCAATTTAGTCCCTACTTTTAAAATTCCATTCTATACTTTTCAAAAATAAAATTTATTTCTAGAATAAATTCAAAAATTCATTAAGGGAGTTTGATGTAAATTTTAATAATTTTTATCCCAAATTTTAGCCTTCAATTTATTTATTTAGTGTGAAAATTACACTATTTCCTATAAAAAAATATTCCCTATACTTACTAAAATTAATTTAAATTTTTTAGGCACTCTCACACATCCTATATGATTATTCTATGCTCTTAAAAAATTTCTCATACTCTTAAGGTGCCTAATTAAATTATTTACCTCTAAAAATACTATTCCTACACTTAGAAAATTCAATGAAATATTCACCATATGTAGAAAAATTCATAAAATCATATAAAATAATCTAACACCCTTCTAACAATTATTCTAAATAAAAAAATATTTTTCATACACAAAAAACATGCTTTAATTAATTTTCTCATGCAATAACTACTATTCATGTATCGAAAAATCACTAAAATATTCTTTAAGCATGAAAAACTATTTTGACCATTCTAAATATTATTTTAAGTTTCTAATAATTATTTCTCATTCTCAAAAGTATATATATATATATTTATTTATTTTCACATGGTTTTAATATTAAACTTTTATTACATTCCTATTTTAGTGGTTACTAAGCATTACAACAACCTCGGTTTTTCCATCTCGTTTGTGGGTGGTATATCGAATAAAAAGTCAATGTAGTGCCTTAAAGGTGGAACAACTCATGCCGGAAGGTACTTGTGAACACGAGTCCCTATCACTAACAATAGACTTAGGCAACCCATGTAGACAAAACACACTTATCGAAAAAAACTTGAGCAACTAATACTTGCATATAAGGGTGAGCTAGAGGAATAAAATGAGCTTTGGCAACCCCATAATAAAATCCATAGAGATATCATATCAAACCTAGTCTAAGATGTTCTTTGGTTGAACAAGACCTATGGATTGTAGGTTCTCCCACTTGTTCCGCTAACAAACTAAATAATTCCGCACAAATTCCCAAATAGTGGTTTTTAATCCTATCCAATAAAATTCAGCACATACCTAATGTAAAGTGTTTTGCACCCCTCCATATATAACGTTATGCAAGTTGGAAAGGATAGATGGAATGAGAGTAGATTTTTTAGGAATGTATAATTAATCCTTATAGGATAATAACCCCTCCTACACTAACCATTCTTTGTTTGTTTTCCCTTTGATAGTATCATGGCAAAGTGACTACACCTCAATTGAAAGAGCTTACTCACTTCAAATGTCATCTAACAAGGAAGAGAGTGACCGAGATATGGCACAAAGCTTAATGGTATCATCTTCATCCATCCGAGGTAAGGCATTAACAACCTTATTCAAAGACCCAACCTTGTACTCTACTCTAAAATCAAAGCCAAGCAATTTATTGACCCATATTTTTTATGGAGAAGTATAAGTCATTACTCCAACAAATACTTCAAGCTAAAATGGTCAATTGTAAGGAGAAAGGAATGACCCTAATGGTATGGTCTCCAATGATGAATTGCCTAAGCAAGGCCAATCAGCTATTTCTTATAAGTTGGTAGCTTGAGGTGCCTCGTCTGCTAGCTTATGACTAAAAAAGTAATAGAATGTACATGTTTGTGGAGTATCGCACCCACTCCCACACTCTAGGTGTCACACCCCACCACAAATTCAACATCAAAGTTGGGTAACTACAATACTAGAGTTGTTGATAAAGCCACTTTCAAATCAATAAAAGTTGTTGTGGCTTCATCGGTCCGATTGAAAGAATTTTTCTTCAATAGAGCGATCAAAGGGGTAGCCAATAACCTATAGTTGGGTATAAATTTCTTGTAATAGCCTATCAATCCTAAAATTCTCCTCAAAGCTCGTACGAACATCGGAGTTGGCCAATTAGAGACAACTTTGATTTTCTCCAAATTAGCAGAAACCCTTTAACTATGAATAATGTGCCCTAAGTAAGCCACCTAAGATTCTCCAAAAGGGCACTTAGAATTCTTAAGGAATAATTGGTATAGCCAAAGTAGCTCCATCACCATCCTCATGTGTTGCATATGCTCAACCCAT